AGTATGGAGGTTCCTCAAAAATCTCAAAATAGAAATACCATTTGACCCAGGAATTCCACTCCTAGGAATTTACCGTAAGAATGCAGGAGCCCAGTTTGAAAAAGACATATGCACCCCTATGTTTATCGCAGCACTATTTACAACAGCCAAGAAATGTAAGCAACCTAAGTGTCCATCAGTAGATGAATGGATAAAGAAGATGTACATACACACAATGGAATATTATTCAGCCATAAGAAGAAAATAAAATACTACCATTTGCAACAGCATGGATGGAGCTAGAGGGTAGTATGCTCAGTGAAATAAGCCAGGTAGAGAAAGACAAGTACCAAATGATTTCACTCATCTGTGGAGTGTAAGAACAAAGAAAAAAGTGAAGGAACAAAACAGCAGCAGACTCACAGAACCCAAGAATCGACTAACAGCTACCAAAGGGAAAGGGACTGGGGAGGACGAGTGGGAAGGGAGGGATAAGGGGGAGAGGGGAGCATTATAATTAGCATGCATAATGTAGCGGTGGGGTCACAGGATAGGCAGTATAACATGGAGAAGACAAGTAATTATTCTAGAGCATCTTACTACACTGATGGACAGTGACTGTAATGGGGTATGTGGTGAGGACTTAATAGGCAGTGTCTAGTAACCATAATGTTGTTCAAGTAATTGTACATTAATGATACCAAAAAAAAGTATATCACACTAAATGTGAGATAATAATAGGAGAAACTGAGGATAAGGTATGAAAGTATATGAAAACTTTCTATACTATCTTCTCAATTTTTCTATAAATCTTGTGTTCTAAGGAATAAAGTCCATTAAAAAGAAAGAAAATTAGTAACCATGCAAAGCAGCAGGAAAATATGACCCACAGTCAGGAGAAAAATCAGGCAATAAAAACATACCAGAAATGACAATGATGGAATTAACAAAGACATTAAAGGAGCTATTATAAATATCTTCCATTTGCTTGAGAATGCAGAAGAAAACATGAAACATAGTGAGGAGGGAAATGGAAGATAGAAAAAGGCCCAAATGAAACTTTTAGAAATGAAATGTATCAGAAATGAATGATATCTTGAACAGGATTAACAGAAGCTCAGACAGTGCAGAAGAGAAGATGAGAGAGTTTGAATAGCAATACAAACTATTCAAAATGAAGCAAGAGACGAAAAAAAGGCTAAAAAGTACTGAGCACCAGTACCAAGTGAGACAATGGCTGTTGGTCTAACTATGTAAAATTAGAGTCCCAAAAGGAAAGAAGAGAAGTGGGATTGGTGAAAAATCCTTGAAGAAATAATAACTGACATTCTTCTAAACTTGATGAAAACTATAAACCCATAGACCCAAGGAGCTCAATGAACCATAAGCAGAATAAATATAAAGAAAATCACACCAACCCCCAGTACAATCAAATTGGTGGAAACAAGTGACAAAAAAGCATATCTTAAAAGTAGCCAAAGAACAAAGAAATAAAGATGAAAATGATAATAGACATCTCATCAAAACTGTCCAAGTCAGTAAACAATGAAGTGACATCTTTACAGTTCTGTAAAGGAAATCCAGCAAGCACAAATTCTATATCTATATATCTATATATCTATATCTAATATCTATACCTATATCTAAGATATTTTGAAAATATCTTTCAAAAACGTAATGTGAAGTAAAGGTTTTTTCAGACTAACAAAAGCTGAGATAATTCATCCCAAGCATATTTGTACTATAAAAAGTGTTGAAGGCAGCTCTTCAGGCAGAAGGAAAACTGAAAGCAGATGGCAATTTGTATCTACATAAAGAAATAGAGTGCCAGAAACTGTAAATATGTGAATGTAAGCGATATTTCTTCATTTTTAAAATCTTTCAAATATAATCGACTGTTTAAAGCAATAATAGTAATATTTGGAATTTATAATGTGAAGAAATAAAATGTGTAACAGCAATAGCTTAAAGAATGAGGAATATAGAATTATACCATTGTTAAGTTTTTTACATTACACCTAAAGGCTGTTATTTGAAGATACAATGGGATAAGTTAAAGATGTATATTGTAAAATCCTAGAGCAACAAAAAATGTAAGAAAAAAAGCAAAAATAAAATAAAGAAGTACAGATAATAAGCCAGTAGTGAAGATGAAAGGGAGAACTAAAAGGCACTCAATCAAAAGTAAGGTAGATATAGAGAAATAAAGGAGCAAAGGACAGATGGTAAGAATAAAAGCAAATACCGAGATGCTAGATTAAAACCCAGTCATACTGGTAATAACAATAGATGTTAATGGTCAAAACACCTCAATTAAAAGACAAAGATTGCCAGATTGGATAAAAATGCAAGACCTAACTACATGTTAGCTATGTAAAACACATTTAAAATATAAAAACACAAATTTAACTTAAAAATAAAATGAAGGAAAAAGATGCACTGTGTAAATATTAATCTAAGAAAGCCAGAGTGGCAATACTGATATTAGACAAAATAGAATTCAGAAAAAGGAACATTAGCATGGACATAGAAGAATGCTTTATAATTATAATGAGATTGATTCACCATGAGATCATAACAGTCCTAAATGTATATTCACCTAATAGCAGAGCTTCAAAATACATGAAGCAAAACTAATGAACTGAAAGGAGGAATCATACTACCTAATTTCAAGAATTACCATTAAACGACAATAATAAAGACTTGTGTTGTTGGTATAATAATAGATATATGGATGTAGGGAACAGAATTGAGGGTTGATAAATAGACTTAGAGTTGATTTTTGACAAAGGTGCCAAGTTATTTCAGAGATATAAAGAGTAGTCTTAATAATGTGGGAGTAACTGGATATTCATAAAGGGAAAAAATAGCCTTGTTTCTTACTTTATAACACAGATAAAAATTAATTTTAAACGGATAATAGACCTAAACTTAAGAGCTAAAATGATTTTTTTTAAACTTTTAGAAGAAAGATTAGGGAAAAAAAATCTGTGGTTTGGGTTTGGGAAAGATTTCTTAGGACACAAAGATAAGACAATAAAAAAAATTGGTAAGTTGGATTCCATCAAAATTAAAAATTTGTTCTTTGACAGATTCTGTTAAGAAAATGAACAGGCAAACCACAGACTGAGAGAAAATATTTGAAAAACATGTCTGATAAAGAATTTGTGTCCTTTAGAACTCAGCTTTTTAAAAAATCCAATAAAATGTGAGCCAAAGATTGAATGCACTTAATTAAAAAACCCATGAATGGTAAAAAAGCACATGAAAAGATTTCAAGATGAGTCATTAGAGAACTATGAATTAAAACCACAATGAGATACTACACTTGTAATAAATAGCTAAACTTTAAAAGATTGACAATATCAGGTTTTGGCAAGGATTTGGAGAAACTAGGATTCTGATCCATCGTAGGTGGGAATGTACAACGGTACCATCTATCACTTTATGAAAAAAATAAAGGTTTATTATAAAGTCAAGAAAACACCTAACAGACAACCCAGCAATTCCACTGCTAGATGTTTAACTCAAATAATTAAAAGACAAAGATTTGAATACAAATGTTCAGGCAAGTTTATTCACAATAGCCATAAACTAGAGATTACCCAAATGTCCATCAGTGGTGAATGAATAAATAAATTGTGATGTACCAAATAAAACATGATTATTGACACATGGGACAACAGGTGAATCTCAAAAAAGTATTATGCTAAGTGAAAAAAGCCAGACACAAAAGACTACATAATGTATGATTCCACTTCATCAGATTTTAGAAAAGATACAACTGAAATGAAATAAAGCAGATCAGTGAGTGTCAGGGGCCAGAGATAGAAGGGAGGGGTTGACTGCAAAGATATGCAGGAACTTTTTAGGATGATGGAATTTTTCTATATCTTGATTTTGGAGATGTTTACATAAGTCTATACATTGTCAAAACTCATCAAATTGTACACTTAAAATTGAACTTAATTCTATGTTAATTATACCTCAGTAAAGCTGATTTTTTTCAATGTCAATTACCTGGAAAAAAATTGTTAACAGGAAATGATTTGTGATTTTCATTAAATCAGTAACTATAAGCAATAATAATAATACTTCTATGAATAATATAAAAAAACTTATTTAGAACTTTATTTTATGTCCCTGAAATAGCCATTTGTGTTCTTTTCTCCTCCTGCTCAGTCCTTTGGTATCTGCAGGATTACAAAAACTTAGTGTCCTTATTAGGCACATATATTGAAATTACTAGTTTTCTTTTGAAGCACTGAACATCTCTGAACAATCTCCTAAGATGTTATACTCTATATATGAACATCAAACACAAGGAGACCTATGAAGACCCTATTACATACAAAGAATATGTATATTAGCCCCCTCCTCCAGGGCAGAGAAACCCCAGAGATTTATGTAACTGGTTTACCAAAACAGGATGAAGTATCAGTTGTCACTTTTGATTGAACAATCAAACAAAATCATAGGCTGAGAAGTAATTCTGACATCAGACTATTGACCAGTAACAAGTCTGGTCATGGTACCAGAATAAATTCAGTCATAACCTTCTTTTGGCTAAACTCTACATTTCCCTTTGTGCCAGGCTCTAAACTACTAATTAGGGCCACAGAAGTTCCCACATATGAAACATACATTAGGAGCCCTAGAAACCAATACCAACTAGTGACTGATACCTGGAGAGAGAGTGGACTGCATTTCCCTCCACATCATGTACTGAATGGGACCTTTGTACAGGCCTGGGCTCAGCTTTCTGGAGATAAGTTCTCTGGGTGTCAGCACCTTCATTCCTTGCTCCAAGCTGCAGAAATTATAAAGCATTTATTCTTAGGCATCCTCCAGGACTGAAGGAAGGGTATTAATACCATACAGAACCACTTACCTATCCAAGAAAGGTGTGATATCCTAGAAGGGGAAAGGAGAAATAGAAAAGTTAGATCCCTGTTTATCAACTCCAGAAATTTATTTGGTGATACTGGCCACCACCAGAATTTGATCAGAGTACTGGGATCCTGTGCAGATGTCCCTATCCCATTGACATCAACTCCTCTCATCCTCCATATGCTTTTGTTGATCTACATCTTTCATCTAACCCAGTATAAACTGGCCTTATTTTGCTCTGATTTTCTGGAGTTCCCTTTTACATGGAACAAGAAAGAAATTAAGGTTAAACTATTTCTACCTATGACTAAGTGGAATAGTAGGTATTCCAGCCTCACAGCCACTTTCCTTACTCTGGCTAATTAAGCCTCTGAGTGCTGTGGTAATGACCAATACAACTTTAGAAGTGAAGCTTCAGGTAGCAGATATAGGCAAACAGTTTTCAAACAGGTCAGTTTATGATTGCTGAGAGCCAAAGATACAATGTTCTAATTGTTGAGAAATAAAGTTTCAAAACTCTTTAGGGAGAAATACTAAAATATTAATACATACTGTTACTAATGGCATTTTATTATCTTCTTTTCCAGGAGAATAAAAATAAAGCTTTCTATCGAGTGTAAGGCAAAGGTAGACTCCTGCTTTTCTTCCAGAGAATCTTAAAAGCACTACAGCAGATTTTTTTTCTCCCTCTCCTGGTAGGGAAAAGCTGCTTCTACATCCTTTCCAACCCTCTTACCTCCACTAGTGTACCCATAGTCATGCTGATGTGGAGTCTCACCTTGAGAAAGTCGAAGGAGTTCTGCTGTTCCATCCATGTCTGGATGCTCGCCAACATCTCCTTGGCTAGAAGACACTGGTCCTGAAGCTGGTTCAGATTCAGCTCCATCTCCTCATTCAAGGCTTTCCCTTCCTCTTGGAGCTCATTTAAAATGTCCTTTTCTTTATTGTGCAGGAACTGATGCAGCTTTAGAAACTCCAAGGAGATGTGTTTCTGCAGATGTAGCTTGTTTTCCTGGAAACATCCATGATCATCACCATGGTAATTATTGAGATGAGCACTTGGCGATGGGGGCCCATACCACCAATATTCATACAACTTAGGAAGTACCATAACAGGAAAAATGCATAAAAATGGCTGCTGAGTATCAACATGCAGCCATATTAAAAGAAGCCCTTAGGGACACTTACTCTGTCTTTCTCAGCTAGTTTAGTAGTTCAAGATGAAATAGTCAGAAGTGATCTCTAGGTTCCTATTGCAGTACTGAGATGGTGAGCAATGTCATATTAAATAAGTCTGGGGTTAATCAAACAGTCCAGTCTAGGATGAATGAATACCCTTCTACCCAGAAATACAAACCAGTATCTATCAGGTGGTGCTGTTAGACTGACTCTAAGGAGGCCAAGCAAACAGACCTTATTTAGAAGTCAGAACTGTGGGGATGCCACCCCTGTGGCCGGGGCTATATAGAAGAAGCTGGAGCTGGGCAATGTCCAGCAGTGAAACTGGTAACTGCTACACTTGCAGCTCTTTTCTGAGGTAACCTCACCATCCTCATGGGGGGTACATCTTACATCCTCGTTGCTTAGTTCCTAATCTTCCTCATTTCTAGTAATTTCCACCTTATTGACCCTTATTGACCCTTCTTATAATCACACTAAGGATCTTAGTATCCCAAGCAACTACTGTAACCATCTCCAAAATTAACTTTTTATCCTCACTTCCTCAGGTGTCCCTATTGCAACAGTTATTAGGTCTCATTGAAACTTCCTATTCATTGGCCCCTCCTTTCTGTTTGTCACCTCCTAGCTTCATGTCCCCTCTTATCCAGCTTAGATCTTATAGTCCATCATTATAATTGCACTCTTAAAAGTCTTAACTCTCTCTTTCCTCTAGCTCACATTTTCAGTTTTCCTTTTACCTATTTCACCACTTGTGAACATGTCTTTTTTGTTGGCTCTGTCTCCTCTAACCAAGCTGTAAATATTAGAGTACTTGCTATTCTGTCCTGGGCTCTTTCCTCTTCCCATTCTACACTGTCTTTCTAGATAATATCCTCTCCTCCCACAGCTCGAAAAACCATCTATATGCTGACTACTTATTTCCAGGCTAGACAAATTTCTGAGCTCCAGATCCCTATATCCAACTATCTATTTGGCATCTCTACTCACCCCTCACGTATAATCAGTCATGACATTCAGGTTATTTTTATATCCAAAACATATGCTGAAGCTGTTTATTTTTTTCCCATTTTCACTCCCTCTGTAGTCTAACCCACCATCATTCTCTGGGATCACTCAGTATCCTTCTAGCCATTATCCTCATCATTCTCTCTTTCCAGTTCATTCTCCACACAGCCACCAGACTGATATTTTATATTTTCAAAATGAGATGAAACCATGTCCTGTTTAAACCCTTTAAAAGCTTTTCCTTACTCACAGGATAAAGTTCAAAATTCCTAACATTATCTACAAGAGTCTACAAGATTGGGCCCGTATCTGCCTCTTCAGTCTCATCTTGCTTGCCTATCTCATCTTGTCTATCATGATCCAGCTTTATTGGCCTTCTCTTGGTCTAACAATCAACTAACTTCCTGTCTTAGGATATTTCTATATCTTCTTTCCTCTTCATAGAACATTCTTCTCCAGGCCACTTCCTTCATATTACCCTCATCCAGTTCACTTGGCTAAGTTACTTAGCCTTCAATTCTCAATTTTTAATAGGTGACTTTTTCAGAGAACACTCTTCGCTCTGTCCAGATTAGGTTCCCAATTTATATGCTCTCATAGAACCCTATGTTTTCATTCATAGCAATTATCACAGTGATTTTATAATTAGTTTTTGAATGAATGAATGTTGACTGTAATAGCTAAACTAGGAATTCTTACAACAGGAACAAGATTCTCTAGAGACATCATTATTTCCATCTATCTTGCTTCTTTCCCTCATTATACACATTTCCTGCTCCAGATGCCAAATGCCAGAGAAGACTCTCTTCCATGGAATAATTAATGAAGAAATAGAACTCACAATTTAGCACCCCCAACCTAGGGACTGATTTGCCAAGTCACTAATCCCTAATGTTGTTCTAAAACTACAGTGAAGTTGAAAATATGGGCTATAGTTTTATTTAGTTTAGGGGAAGCTAGGAAAGATAAAATCAGATGGGAAAACCCAGCACTCTGAGAGACCTTGGTTCAGAAGTAGCCTGGTTGTAAATCCATGGAGGAATAAAAAGTATTTCTTTGGACTTAACAATCTTTAGTGGGATTTTCTGATAGAGTCCTTATTTTACCATAGATATAGGGAAAGACTAGATAGATCATAATTCCAGAACAATCACCTAGTGATTGAACCATCAAAAGGATCCTCTTATAAGGGAAAGTCAGTCTGTTCTCTCTGTTGATTAACTATTGGGAACCTACTCCACTGCTATATTCCTTTCATTTCCACCCTATAGTGTCCATATTTTAATTCTGTAGCCCAGGTGCCATTTAATGTATTGAAAATATATGTATATAGGTATCTTTCTACCCGCATAGCTGAAGTCACAAGGAGGGTGTATTCCAGTTCCATCTCATAATCGCTCTACCCTGTTCCTCACCTTGTAAGCAGCAATAGCATCTTTCTGCATGATCTTCAGGGACTGGAGCTCCTTCAGGGTTGCTTCCAGTTCACCCTGATGGATGGTAAGCTCCTCCTGGGAATACCACATGGAATTAACCCACACTGACTTGGGAGATGAAGGGCCCTAAGGGACATTGCCCCCGCAAAGCCCCAGTGTGTCAGAAAAAAAGAAGGCTCTTACTGTAAAAATCTTTCTTTTCCTTGTATCATAGTTCCTGTCTCTTCCAGAAGTGGTGAAGAAAATTACAAGCCACAGAAAAACCTAGTTTTACCCTCTTATTAGCTAACTACTAGGGTTTGAAGAAGGTAAAAGAATTTTATACATTTTCTATTCTAGTTACACTGTTCTCTCTATACTTTGACTTACATTGTTTTCACTTGGAACACTCATTTCTTCCTTCTGCCCATCCAAATGCAAATGATTTCCCAGTTCAAGCTTTCATTTAGTCATATATCCCTTATTTCAGTTTTCTATAATCTCTGAAATTCTGAATATTTTTGAATTACAAATGCAACAAAATTTAGCTCTCAACAGTAAACTATGTTATTTTGATTCCTTTGTTTTATTTATTTTAAACCTGACTAAATTTCAAGACTTCTTTATAAGAGCTATATCTTATATATCCATATTCTATACATTGTCTAGTAGAGTGCTGTAATGGCAGGTTTAAGTAAATATTTGATTGATTGAGGGAGTGGATCAGAACTCCTCCACTGCTGCTTTGCTATAATCAGCAACTCTAGAGAAAGAACACTGCAAGATATGCTGTATTTTCTGATCTCTCTAATAATCCTAATAAAGAGGTGGGATTGGAAGAGAGAAGAACTACAGGAGGTTTTTCCCAGCTTTCCTAAAGGATTGCTCAAGGCCTAGGGCTCACCCACCATGAAGAAATGGACAGCATCAGAGATCTGCAGAAACTCTTTAGATTGTCCTACAGACAACCGAGTATCTTTGCATTGAAAGCAGATCAGTTTCCCATCTGGCTTACTGAACAGTTTCAGATTCTCTCCATGCTCTGGGCACAGTGGATAACCCTTGAGTAGGGGTAGCTTCTTAATCTTCTCTATCAGCTTTTCCAGTACACGGTTGAATGTACAGTTGCTATATGGACATAACATCTTACACTCAGGACAGAATGTTTCCTTTGTATGTTGCTTCCCAAAGTTTTGGATACAGGCCTGGCAGAAGTTGTGGCCACAGCTTAGCATCAATGGATCACAGAACCAATCATTACACAGTGGGCAGTGTAGCTCCATAGTAATATCTTGTATCTGCACTTTAGAGGGTGTCTCGGTGACTAAATCATGCACTTCAGTGTAGTTGCCTGGGTCGATGTTGCAGGAAGGGTTGGAAGATACCTTGGAAAAGAACAGCTGAAATGAGTTTCTCTTTCTTGATGCCCATTTCAGCACTCCAGAATAGTGGGCTCCATTCCTAAAGGAGCTGAGAATTGGTAGAGCCAGAGTAAAAGCACCATGATCTCTTCTTGGAAAGTGATCTGACAAATTCAGTGTTTTCCAAAGTCATAGTTTATTACTACACCCAACACTGTTTAAACTTTAATAGAGAAAAGAAAAAGCACTCAACCAAAGAAATGAATTTTGTTGCAATCCCTCCTTCTACCCACTTTCCCCATGAATCAGTTGAAAGTTTTACTTTCAACTTCTGTTCTACTAGTTATTACCTTTTTGTTTTGTTTTGTTTTCTACAAGTCATATACAAATAATTTGGAAGTCAATCAGATTCCTCAATGGCATAATATCACCAACCATAATATCAGATAGCCATCCCCCCACTTCAAAAAAACACATTACAGAAATAACATACAGAAAAATGAGGAATCATAAGTGTATAGCTCAGTGATTTTTTTCACAAAATGATCACATCCGTGAGATCATAATTCTGATAACAAAACAGAATACCAACCAGCATCCCAGAAGCCCCCCATATGCCTGCTTCAAGTTACTATCCATTATCAAGATTGACCCCCTATCCTGACTTCCAACACTATACATTTGTTTTGCCTGTTTTTTAATTTCATATAAATGCAACCATGTAATATATACTCTTTTGCTGGGGGCTTCTTTTGTCTACATTTAAATTTATCCGTATTATTCTATGAATTGTAATCCATTCGTGTTCATCTCTGCATAGTATTCCATTGTGTGAGTATACCAAATTCATTTCTCCATTCTACTCTTGATCAGTTGGAACTATTATAGTGTTGCTAAGAACATTCTTGCTTGTGTTCTTTGGTATGTGTGTATATATTTATCTTTAGTATATACTTGGGAGTAGCTCATAGGATTTTCATATATTCAGTTTAGTAGATATTGCGAGACTGCTTTCCAAGTGACTGTATCAATTTACACTGTACCACCCATATTCTTGGTACATTTAGTGTAGGTATGTTCATTTTAGCCTATTCTGGTAGGCATGCAGTAGTATTGCATTATGGCTTTATTCTGCATTTGCCTGATGACTATGGATATTG